GTAATAACCAAGTTCATTGATTAGTTTGTAAAAATACGAGTAATACAGATTGAATTCATTGAATGGGATATTTAAGTAGGTCATTCATTTTGATACGAACAATTGGAATGAATGGAAGGAATAAAATGGGGTGAGAGTGGGACGAAAAGGAGAACGTCACGGAAGCTCACCTGTTGAATGCAAGCGCGTGATCGACTCCCACAGGTGGTTCCTTCAATGCTTACCAGTTCAAAACGTATTTTTTACTTTCCACTTTTCAATATTTAATTATTTACATTTTGTAATTTAAAATTTGTATCATTTATCAATCAAAATTTTGTACAATTTTTAAAATAACACAATTTAATTAAAAAAAACAATCAAATGCAATTTCAACGCAATAAACGTACGAACTATGAACTTGATAATTAATCGAAATAATTATTTATGTTAAAATAATAAATAATTGACGATATTACAATTTAAAAAAAAAAAAAGAAAAAAAAAGGGAAAGAAAGAAATGGTTGGACAGGTGCATCGGTTGCATTGTAAGCTTTCGTCGCGACCTACCGCAACGCTCAGTGGTACGAGCATGGACTTGGAACGTTAGGAAAGGGGGTTGCCGTGAAGGGGGCAGATGGGGTAGGGGTAGGGGGGGTCCCCGGCAATCTCTAATGGGGTATAATTGTCGCGAGCAATGCGAGGACAGTGCGCCATTAGCGCATTTTTCATCGTCTTTCTTGCCGGCACACCACGCACGCACCACTCTGCAGGCCCCCAGCTTCTTCTTCAACCATCTCTGTGATTCTCTCTCTCTCTCTCTCGCTCTCTCTCTTTCTCTCATTCTCACGAGTTTATACTCGTGATGTGATAGCTAGCTAGCTGGCTAGGATACCTAGCTACCATGGATGCGTGATTTACTTTTTTTTTTTACTCAAACCCCCTTTTTCATGACGATGAAGGCGGCGGCGGCGGCGGCGGCGGCGGTGGTTTTCCTCTCCCTCGAAGAAACTCGGATTCTTTGGAATTTCTTTGGAACGTCGTCGTTCATCCGTTGAGGTAGGCCTCAAGGATGATCATCTCACGTTGGAAAAAGTGAAAACTTTTCTAACTTTTAATTCGATTTATATTTCCAAATTCTATGAACTATCAACCAAATTTATCCAAGTGCAAGTACAGTATTTATTGATTGTAATACACACAGATTTCTTTTGATATATTTTTGTTGATCATTTGAAAACAAACTTCAGATTACAAACGAAACATGGGTTGTTCGTAATACTCAGATCATCAAAACTACTCGCCATTTTAATTCATGTTAGTAAAAGGATACGAAATCTATGATTATTCTCTTTACATCTAAATTCTTTCTTTAACTTTCTTCAAATTTTCTTCACAAAATAAAAAAGAAAATATTTAAAAAAACTCGCATTTTCGTATTTCCTTTCAGTTCGGGTTCCCTTTTTATTCTCACTGACTAATTTGGTTAACAGTTAAGTGTATGGTCGCTAATCGTTTAACGATTAAACTTACCGTGCTATAGGAAATTATAAAAAAAAGCAAAAAATTACCTGTAATTAAAGCAAAGAGAAAGTATTTACCTGGTGTTTTCAGTTCATGAGTTTAATACGAGTTAGGATATACGATTGCAATTTGACAAAATTGTCGTTTAGGAAGAACGATAAAAATATTTTCCATTCGAGTTAACTTTTCCGTACCCTTACGAACTTATTTCTACAACTGGTAGAATTTTATATAATTTTCTTTTTTTTTTTTTTGTATTTTTTACTGTATACATGTACATTCTGAATGAAAGTCTGGATATAATCCAGCAAGCTCTTTCACCTATTTTTTGTTTGTTTGTTTTCTTTTTTCTCTTCCCGTACACTTTTCTCTTCTTTTATCTCATTCTATTTTTCTGTTTCTCTCTTTTTTTTTTTTTTTTCTTTACGTTGAACGGAAGAAATAGATATTTCTATATATATATATATTTATCTGTGATCATTAGGGAACGTTAATTGGATTTCTTTTTCGCGTCGATGAACTATCGTAGAAATAAAATTGATCTTATTATCTTCCGTCATCTTTTTGAAACATTATTTGAAAACGAGTTAWCTATTACGAGTTATTTATTATTATTATTTTTATTTTTCTCAAATTAGAACGAAAACTCAGAGGTTTCACGTGACCGTTCAACCACACGGCACATTTAAGTGCACCAATTGAAATACAATTTTTCAAAATATTTTCTTTCAATTTTCTTTTTTCTTTCAATTATCTTATTGTTAGTTAAAAACATGTGTGACTTATCATTCGTCATAAGAAAAAATTCCAATGCAATCTTTCGAGTCAGCGGCACGCGACAAATAAATTCATTCGCACAATCATCATCTTTTTTTTGTGTTTTTTTTCTCTTTATTTTGTGTGTGTGTGTGTTCGAATTTTTATTCTAATATTTATTAAAAACTTTGTATGGGGAAGTTGGATAGGTACAACAAATTAGAACATATTTGTTTTATGGGACTGCTGAACGTTTTGTTCTTCTTATTAGGATATCTTCTAGCAATTATAAAAAACTAAATTACATAACCTAAAAAGTATATAGCTCTTCGAAACACTAAATATAAAATAATATTTTTAATTTATTTTTTATTTATATCTCGATCATCAATGTTTTCAGTATTCTATTTATTACTAAGACATTCATTATATATTTTTATCACATAACCTAGTAATTATTGTATATTAGTAACTATGTAGTACTAATAGCATAATATATAGTTTAATAGTATAATAATTGTATAATATATGGTATAATAGTATAATAATAGTATAATATATAATTTATAGTACATATATTATTATATACCTATATATTATTATATTAGCAACTATTTAATACTAATAGCATAATATATGGTATAATAGTATAATTATAGTATAATAGTAATACAGTACTATATATTATATTATTATATACTCTATATTATATTCTCTATATATTATTATATTAGCAACTATATAATACTAATAGCATAATATATGGTATAATAGTATAATAATAGTATAATATATAATATACTAGTAATATAGTACTATATATTATATTATTATATACCCGTCTATATATTATTATATTATAGTAACTATATAATACTAATAAAATAATTTATATTATAATAGTATAATATATAATATAATAGAGTAATATATAGTACAATATATAGTATTATTATATACCTACCTATTATTATATATTTAACGTTTCGAAGAACTACGTATTTTTGAGGTTATATGTTTTATAGTTGCAGTTATAGCAACAGTTTCTAAACAAATATGTTCTAATTTGTTTTAACCTATCCAACTTACTTATAATACAAAGTTTTTCATTTTGTGGACCCAAAAAATAACTCTAATTAATTATTATCTATATTTTTTTTTGTCTCAAAAATTAATAATGAGAGTTTAATGTACTCAAATATTGGAAGTTTAATTAACTTAACTAAAAATATAATTGTATTATATATATTTATATATGTCTATAGGTATGACAAAATCGGTTACTCCTACGAAGTAGTATAGTTCATTTAAAATGCAAGATGCGATTTCATCGTTCCTTCCCCTCCACCATTTTAATTCACGTGCACGCGCTGCATCGTGCCATAGTCCACGTAATATTAAATTTTGATTTCGTACGAGTACTTTACGTCTAGCTACGAAGGATGTTTCTCCCGAACGTTTCAAGGCCGTCATGTGTGCGACGATTTAAAACCTCTCTCTCTCTCTCTCTCTTTCTCATCTTTTATTGAAAACATTAGAAAGTTATATTATTGCATGAGAAAGAAAGAGAAAGAGAAAGACACATTTTCTTTTTCCTTTTTCTTTTTTTTTTTTTGAAAAAATTACCTAAATCCTTCCGCGTTTCTGCACGATCAACGGAACCGTTAAAAGAGAAAGAGATATATATATATACAATCTTATACAGTCGTTTGAAAGAAAGAAAAATACAAGAAAGACGGGGGGATAATTTGGAGGAGAAAAATTATCTTGGCAAATGAGAATTATCTTACAAACTCAATGGTGGACAGCAACGTCGTAAAGTAATTACGATTTCTCGTTACGCCAAATAAAAATTACCGTACGATGATAAAATGGTGAGAAATCATGGGGAGAGTTTGCTCATATATATATGTAATTAATATTTATATACATGTGTGTGTGTGTGTGTGTGTGTGATGAGGACACATTTCGTACCCATATTCTCGCGATTTTCTTTTCGATCACGAATCTTTTGAGATGAGTGTAACCCACGTTCAAAGTGAAACAGAGTAAAAGGAGAGTAAANAAAAAAAAAAAAAAAAAAATAAAAGAAAAAAATGAATGAAAAAAAAAGAAAAGAAAAGAAAAGAAAAGAGAATGCAAGTAGAATTTTTCGTCGTCGTAGTCGTACGAAACACCGTTGTAGCAAGCGTTGAAAAGGCGAGTCAGCAGGCCCCTCATCAAGGGTCGTAACTCGTGAAATAATGCGCGACGAGGAATTCGCGGGGACGTAATTCGACGAGCAACGGTGATTCCGAAACTGCCGGATGATCATAAGACGGGACCGATCGAAATCTACCATTTAGGTCGCTTACTATCGACCAAACAACCACCACCACCCTCCCTTCTCTTCGATTTCAATAGCGTATGAGATGATTTCTTTTCCAAAAAAAATCCCTCTCTGACGCCCGGAAGCTGATCGAGGAGAGGTTTCGTATTCTACGGGGCCCCATATTCCTTATTTAACATTTCGCGTACTTAATTCGATGATTATCTTTTCGAAACGAAAGAAAGAGAAATAATTTGCTTCGATCGAGTTTAAAAAAAGAAAAAAAAAAAAAGGAATAATAATAATTGGTTTTACGATCGTACAAATCTTCTTTTAAAAATTTTTATTAATTATTATAGTATATTATATTTTATTTAAATGTTTAAGTATAATTTTTGTTGTTGTAAATGACATTATTATCTTTTCATTTCAGGATTAATAGTAATACAACTGATCATGACGTCGGCTAACGGTGCACCAGTGAAATCAAGACGACAGGATTCCTCACCAATGTGGGTGAATCCTTGCGGACTTGCGGCTGAAGATTTCAACAGTGATCCAGAAATCGAACAATTAAAGGATTTTGACCTCGTATCGCAGATTATCGTACAATCCCAAACAGCATTGTCTCATACTTCGCTGTTTCGTGAAGATTTCGTAAGTATTACATTATATATAAATATGTATATAGATAATAACCTTCCTACAACATGGTTTTGATCTAACAAATCTAATAAAATGATTCATCAATTTTGAGAATCTTTCTATAACGAGGTTTTATTATAACACGTTAAACAAAGTTGCAACAAACTTTTGTACAACATTGTATAATAATATAATTCTTACTGAACATATTCATAAAATTAAACTACCATCGAGGTTTTGTTATAACACGTTAAACAAAGTTGCAACAAACCTTTGTACAACATTGTATAATAATATAATTTTAACTGAACATATTCATAAAATTAAACTACCATTTTATCTTTGTATAATATTATACTTGTACAATATTAATTAATATAATTTTTGTTGGATATATTTACAAAATTAAATTACCATTTTTAAGGTTATTTAAATATAATGAAATATCAAATAAATTAATTATAGGATTTAAGTAACACGTGTTACTGGAAGGGTATTACCTGTATATTACAGTTTTTAAACACGGTTTTATCTAACAACATGATTCACACATAAATTACGGGAATCCCCTCATAACGAGGTTTGGTTATAGTACGTTAAACAAAGTTGCAACAAACCTTTGTACAATATTATACTTCTATAGTATTTAATAATTTAATTTTTACTGAACGTATTTACAAAATTAAATTACCATTTTTAAAGTAATTGAAATATAATGAACAATAAATAAAAAAAGGAATACTTGGTTGCATATAACACGTGTTTAGGAAGGGTATTACCTGTGTATTACAATTTTAAAACACGGTTCTATCTAACAACATGATTCATAAATTAGGGGAATTCTCTTACAACGAGGTTTGGTTATAGCACGTTAAACAAAGTTGCAACAAACCTTTGTAAAACATTATACTTCTACAATATTTCATAATTTAATGTTTACTGAACATATTTACAAACCTAAATTACCATTTTCAAGTTAATTTAAATATAATGACATATAAAAAAAATAAAATGAATTATAGGATTTATATAAAACCTGTTGTATTACACAGGTATTGCAACATTACCAATGTATCACAATTTTGATCATTTATTCACATAATGATCATGAAAGTTAGTAAGAAAAATTCTCCTCCTCCTCATCGTTCTTCTCCTCGTTCTCCTCCTCGTTCTCCTCTTCGTTCTCCTCCTCGTTCTCTTCGTCGTCCTCCTTGTGAACGGTTAGTCCCAAAAAGTAAAGGCCCTCCGACGGAAGATCAAACTCATCGATGGTTCGATAATTACCACCGTGACTTCTGCTTGTGGGATCGGGCATGAACGGGGATAAGAGGGAACATCGAGCGGAAGGCAGTTATGGCAGTACTTCCGGCGGTACGGACGACGTCGATCGTTGGTTCTACGTGTCGTTGGCAAACACACGAAAGAGATCTCTCTACTTTTACTTATCGGATTTATCGATGTTTTTCTTCTCTTCCGATTCTTGTCTCATTTCATTTCACTTCATTTCATCTTTTACCGATTATCTTCATTTCGAACTTCTCATGACAAACAGACACACACACACACACATTCGGTTGATTTATTTCTCATTTTAATGCAACTTTGATTAAAATATAGTTTAATTGACTTTAATTCAACAAGGTCAACTGATTAATTGGATTAGTTTTGTTAATTTTTATTTTTGGGGATAATTTACTATTTTATGGGATAAACGCATTAATACAATATTTACAAAAGAGGTTAGGTTAAAAAATAAGTGAAGATAGTTACAAAAAATTTAGGTACCTTTGAATTTTGTATGATATGAAAGTTGCAAAGAAACAAATTGGTAAATTAAATAAATTTATTATTTATTATTAGATAAATTTAATATTATATATAAAATTATTATTTCATTAATTTTACTACAAATTTAATATACTAACAGGGTTCTATAAAAAATCATCACAAATTAAGAAATATAATAACATATTAATTTTACATTGACATGACGAACACAAACGAACAAATGAATAAATTAAATAAATTAACAATATTTTAACAAACAAACAAAAATTGCTAACGATTCTATAAAAAAATTCATTAAACTAATAAATATTTGAATATATTAATTTCATTAACCTTTACGAACACAAACAAGCAAAATAGTAGGAAGAATTTAGGGGAAGGGCATATCAAATAACAAATAGGAAGAATCCTTCCCAAAACGTGGTTCATTATCTATCCAAACAACATACTTGGTTCCCTAAGCTTTCTCCTCTTTCCCTCCTCTCATCTTCTTTAACAAAGTAGATTTGAAAAATATAAGGATAGACGTATTCGGGTAAACCGCAAAATAACAACGAAACTGCGGTCAAACGTGAAACTATACTCTCTCTTTCTCTTTCTAACTTCACCTTTTCATCATACATTAGGCTCGGTTCCCTCAATTTATGCATCATGAACACAAGTGTCCTCACAATTCCGGGTCTGTGTAACTGGACGTCCTTACGCTGGCTGTCCGACCCAATTCTCGGAGCCCTCGAGTTCGAAATCGATCTTATTTTTCGACACCTTCGCTTCCTGTTTTGAAAATTTAGATTTTTTGTCCAAAACACAAACAACACACACATGCCATTTCTTACGTAACTTTGTTTTGATTTAAAAATTTACGATAATTATTATTAGTCATTTATCACAGACTTTTTTCTCTTTTCAATTTCAACAATCCAACGAAGATATATGCTATGGGCGCATATATACGCTTATCAATTTATCTTCTAACTACCCTACTTTCATTCAAAATTCTTTACTTTTTATCAACAAACTTTTTTCTTGTCAATGTCAACAATCCAACAAAGATATATGCTATGGGCGCATATATACGCTTATCAATTGTTAACTACCCTACTTTCATTCAAAATTCTTTACTTTTTATCAACAAATATTTCACATTAGCAATAAAAATAATCCTATTATTTCAAAGATTGCAATTTTTAGGTTTGTTCCCTACTCAAAGGATTGAAAAAAAAAAAAGAAAAGAAACTTTGTTGATTATCTTCAAATACCAAGAAAGTTGGATGATCTCAAGATGATCAGGTGTATACACAGAGAAAAAAAAAAGACAGTGAAGGTGGGGTAGAAGGGATATGCGAAAAAAAGTCAGCGCATTTCATGCACGACCACAAAGGGCGCTTACACTAGGGTCTTGGTTCCGGCTGTGTGACTATGAGACATGGAGAAAGGGTTAGAGGGGGGTTGGAGGGTGCAGAGTGGGGGGTTTGAAACGCGTCGTCGAAAGAGCCGCGTTACATCATCGGTACGATGATACACGACACCGTTGTTTTCTAAGTCAGCGCATAATTCGATATCGAATTCGTTTCGTACTTAGTTTAGTTAGTTAGATATAGTTGGAAGGTAGATGTAGGATTCAATTCGCCTAACTTTCATTCTTTATTTCTCGCGGTGACTATTACTTCATGGTGTAGGAAGACGCAGGTGCAGCTTTGACTGATAACGAGGTTGCAGGCGACATACTGTCTGGTGGTGGTCCACTGACGTCATCATTACCAAGTCCTGTTATCGTTTTTTCTTAAATGAAACCAAGTCACAAGTAGATTAAATACTTCAGATTATTATTTAACTATGTGGATGGATAAAATACAAATATTATTATAAATCACTTATCATTAAATGATAAATGAAATGAAAAGGTTTTGATTATTAGGATATGCATATGTGAAAGATGATCAAATTGTTTACAACAAAACTCATTAAAAAATAAGTTTGACAGGGATTTAAAAACGTGAAGATAATCTCGAATTATTATTAAAATTATTTCCACTTATGGGTTGGATACTAATTTACATTTATCACGATAAATTATTAATAAATGAAACCCCCTTATATCAGTCGTTAGTCATCTATCACGTGACAACGGCATTTTGGCGGTACAATCGTAAGTCACGTGATTGGTAATATAACCTCTGAATATGTCAAAACTCGCGCTTTCTCTGAAATTCAACCACAATTTCCTTATCAGTTATGCATCCGGGTAACAAAGTAATTATATCATTGTCTTTTCTAATTAATTTTTAATATAAATAAAATTAAACAACTTACAACTTAATAATAATCACATAAAAAAAAATACTGACAACCAATCAGGGTTTACAAACAATAATAAATAAATCAGTTATATTAAAAAAAAAAAATGATAAAATCCTAATAAAAATGAAAATGTGTTCATTATGATATACATAGATAAAAGATGATCGAATTATCTATAAAAAAAAAAAATTGAGATAATATAGAATGAAACGATAAAGAGATAAAAATAAAAGAAAAGAAAAGGGATTTAAGGACGTGAAGGTATCGAATAAAATATCGGAAGTGGAGGATTCCAATAAATCAGAATCGGAAGCTGTCCCCCCTCCCCCTCGTCCACCTCTTTCATACCGCGGACGGGACACAGCCATACGCCACGGTAATACACCGCCTGCATACTAAAGGCAAGACCGGATATACAACGCGCCAGCGTATATTCTACTACTTTCATCGATATATACACCACTACTATTACATATATACCCCATGGCAGCAAGTGCTTGACTGTTGCTGCTGCTGCTGGTGCTGATGCGTTTCTTGCATATCGACTCGTAGTCGTCGTCATTGTCGTCGTGTAAGGTTCCCTCCCGCTGACATATTTTCTCTTTGCGCGTGACTTTCCTCTCGTCTCGTCTCACCACCACCATCACCACCTACTCATTCACCTATTATTCTTTCTCTTTCTTTCTTTCACATTCACACAGATAGAGACACACACGTGGTTTGTTCCTTTTCATTCATTCTTGAAAATTGGGTCCAAATCTCGATCGGTCGATTATTTTCTGGATTTTTTCTTGTTTTTTTTTTTTTTGGAACCGAAAATTTTTACAACTCTGTAATAACCGGATGCTAAGACAAAAAGATTGGGAAGGTTAATTGATTTTGACGGGGTTTTTATCTTTCTCTTTCACGTAGAGTTACGAATA